TCTAAATAACATTCAGATCTTCCAAATTAGGACTCCCCTTCCTCTGCCTCTTCCTCCAAGAAAGACTCTAGAAAATGTACCACTTCCTGTAGCTCCACTTCCACTTGTTTGACCTCTCTCCAGCTGTTGTGTGTTGCTTGATTGACCTCTTCTACCAAGAAAGACTCCAGAAAATGTGCCCTTTCCTGCAGCTTCACTTCCATTTGTTTGACCTCTCTCCAGCTGTTGGCGGGTGTTGCTCGATTAACATCTCCCCATCCTTCTAAGCAATGGCCTGCATTGCTCACATTTGTTTGTGACTAAGTCACAAACAAATTATCAATTTGGAGGAAAAATTTCTTTAAAACAAATTACATTAAAAGTTATATACATACTCATTTACAAATGAAAATTTTCTTACTTGTGTGATATGACCAAAATCTTGGCTACCAGAAACAAGTGTTGAATGTTGGGTGCCTCTTCCCCTAACTTGTTCCTATATGTAAACAAAAAACACAGTTATAATTATGTTCAATCTTAAATACCTATTCTTCAACCACCTGTTGTTATACTTAGTATAAAAAATTTCAAGTCATAATAAAGAAGTTCGAAGCATATAGCATGATATTAATTGCCATTAAAATTACCTGTGTGTTCTTCCCTTTCTTTTTGACAGAAGCTCCTTTACATGTTCTTCTATTGTGGCCAGTATCATTGCAATTGTAGCGTGTAATTGTTCGGGACCTCCTTGTCTGACTAATCCCTGGGACAGGTTCATCATGTTCCTTCTTCCTATTTTTTTTAGGTCTACCAGGCAGTCTTTTTGGAATGGGTGCTTCTAGCGTAGCACCATCAATTGGAGTCCACATTTTCTGATCCACTATAGGGTGGATCATTCCCCCATGAGCTTTTAGGTACGCATCATTGCTATAACATGGATCAATAAAATCTTCAATGTTGTACCTTTGGTAACCAATGGCGGAGGTTGCATGCTTACATGGAATTCCTGAAATCTCCCAAGCCCTGCATACACATATCTTTTTTATTAAGGTTTGCAACATAAGTGATCCCATCATCCACAACTGAATACTCTTCACTCCCAGCAGGTGTCACTAAACAGGTCCTTGCTTCTTCTATCAATATATTCAATTTCTTTCTAATGTTAGGAGTAGTCACACTACCCTCCCATGAACACCCCTTCTCATATCTTTTATGAATCCTCTCCATCAGTTTAGTCCTTATACCATCAAGCAGGGGTAAAATAGGGTTAGACCTAAGATCATCACCAACCCAGTTATTGAAGGACTCTGCCATGTTACTAGTTATATGGTCAGACTTCACTCTCAAATCACATGTATGCCTTGCCCATGTGTGAATGGGATTATCATTAACCAACCAATTATATGCATCCTCTGATAGTCCCCTTAAATGTGTCAAAGCTTCATTAAGATCTACTTCATTGTAGGCTCTGGCTGCCTTCCAGAAATACTTTCTCACTAACATGGAAGGATTATTTTTCTTTAAATTGCTAAACAAGTGTCTACAGCAAAATCTATGTCTTGAACTAGGAAAAATATTAGAGATAACAGATATCAGGCCCTACAATACAGAAATAAAGTACATTAATTAATGTATAGCATTATTTGTAAAATTAAGTAAATTAATGTGTAGGATTAATGTATAAGCTAATTAATATTTACCTTTTGCATATCAGACATGAAAGTCCAAGGACAATCTTCACTTTCCTGTCCAATAATGTTATGGAGCTGTAGTAGAAAAAATTCCCAGCTGAACTTTGTTTCATTTTCCACCACAGCATATGCAATTGGGAATAAGCCATTATTCCCATCAAGAGCAATTGCAGACAATAAAACACCACCAAATGGACTCTTCAAGTGGCACCCATCTAGAGCAATGAAAGGCCTGCAGCCTTCGAGGAACCCAGATTTCATAGCATCAAATGAAATAAAAATTCTTTTAAACCTAAACGGTTCACCAACTTCTGGATTGTTACGTAGAACTGTCACCAAACTTCCAGGATTTGACTTCCTAATTTCATTTGCATACATGTATAGCTTTGTGTATGAATCAGCATAATTACCTTCAATCTCCTCAAGTGACCTTCTCTTGGCTCTGTATAGTTGCATTTTATTCTTAGGCACAACCCCATAATTATCTTTCAAAGCTCCTTTTAATGCCTTCAATGACATTTCAGGACTATCTTTGAATCTATGCCCCAACTTTTTGGAAATCCATGTCGAATTTGCATTTTTATTTGTACTGATTCTCACACATGTGTGGTGATCTTTGTATGACTTTATCATGTAAGTGACCTTGTCAGGAAGTGGGGATGCATGGATCCTCCAAGGGCAACCTGGTGTCGCACATATACTAGTGCATCTAGTTTTCTCATTCTTGACCCTAAGAAGTGGAAAACCCTCCTGAATAACATAATCTCTCAAAATCTCTCTATAATGGTCCACATTATCAAACAAATGCCCTTGTTTCAACTTAAATTTTCTACCCTCCTCTCTATGAAATGGCACACCAAACACAACTTGGTCAAGTCTCTTACCCTTTGGCCTTCTCTTTTTTCTCCTACCTTCCTTATCTTTGTTCAATTCAATCACTTCTACACTTGAATCTGAAACAACACCATCATCACTAGACTCATAGTTGGATAAACCATCATTTGAATTCATGTTCGCAACCACAATAGATGAGTCATCAACATTTCCATCACTATCACTATTCCAAGTTGAACTATCACTATCAATACCATTTTCTTCAGCATTCCAATCCTCATCCTCAGTACTGAACCCATATATTTCATCATATTCTTTATCTTCTCCTTTATCATTCTCTTGACCCACATTCTCATTTAACTCCTCATCTTCCCCTTCATCATTCTCCCCACCCATGTTATCATTAACTCCCTCTTTTTCACCATATTCTTCGCCCATATTTTGTTCAACAAGAGACTGAAGCCAATGCATAAAAGCTATGTCTAAATTTTCAACTGCAGTAAGTGCTAGAGTTGGTGGCATGTCTAAATTTTTAACTTTTTTAAATTCTACATATAAAATTATATCACCAACACCACTATAGAAACCAAACATATCTAACAAGTCCTTGTCCCTTTCAACCAACAACCTATCAGTAGACCCTGGTATGTCACAACAAATTTGTAATTTAAACTCATACTCAGGTAGGACCCCCAATTTTTGTGCAGCAAACATAATATCCTCCTCCAAGTCAAACGTGTTGTATCTATCTGGGTCAACATTGCATAACCAAGTGACTTCATCCAACAAGTGGACTCTAAGGTCATGTAGGTCAGACATAATTCTGAAAATAACAAACACCAAAGGGATTAAAATATAAAAACATAATTAACCATACAAATTCATCATTAACATGGATTATAAATGAGCCTACAAAATGGATTACTAAAATACAGACAAATAATATAAAAATATTATTTAACATTGCTATAACATGATTAAATCAATAAAATGATTAATTTATACTAACTTCGATCCTACAACATGGATTAAAATATACAAACACCTATAACATGGATTAAAATACAGCAAGCATGCAAGGGTTACGATAACATAATACTTAATAGATTTTCTTAGATGCACTAACAGTACTGACAGACACTGACACGTATATATACACACACACAAAAACCTATAAATATGCAGACATAGATACAATACACAAAGTGCAACCAGAAGGAAACAAAAGTTCTTACTTAAACTCTTAAACCCATGATACGAACCCAGAAAGTGCTACAAGAAAATTTAAACCTCAAGATGAACCGTAAAAACCCAATCTCAAACTCTCAATACAACCCTAAAAACCCAAACTCAAACTCTTAACCCTCGATACGAACCCTAACTAAAACCCTCGAAATGGAGAGAAGACAAGAGAATGTTTAAGCTTCTAGAAAGTAGAAACCCATCAGTTTAATACTTACTTGAGATGGTTTTGGTTTTGGCTACCAAAACCCCGTAGCCAAAACCCCTCAAGCTTCCCCTAACAGGTACGAATAGATGGTGAAAAGAGAAGAGATGGTGAAAAAAGAAGCAATCAACAAGTTTAATGGTAGGTATTATATATATATTTTTTTTTTCTGACTTGAAAAGTAATCGTAAATATAGATGGGCATTTTGGTCTTTGAAATTTTGAAATAAAATATAAAAAAATATATAATAAGGACAGAAATGTAATTACACAATAATAGTTAACGCCATCCAATTTAAAGTTCTGATAGGGGAGGTCCGTGTAATTTGGCAAATAAGAGGGGAGGTATGTGTATATTGACGAAACCTCAGGGAAGGTCAGTGTAATTTACCCTAATAATAATTCTTTTGATGTTGTTAGATATATGGTCAGCTAGTGAAGGAATTGGGTAGAGCTTGGCAGCATGAGGAGCTGTTTTGGAGGCAAAAATGGAAGGTGGACTAGCTTGGTTGAGGGAGACATAAATACTGTGTGACCTCGATATGTCCGGAAGGACGGCTCAAATAAACAACCAAAAACTAGAAGTGCGACCTGGGCTGGTCAGAAGATCAACTCGGTTTCTACAATGGTTAACCTATCCTCACCCAATCGTTCTCCACAATGCTCACCCAATTTGTTCTGAAATCTTTGAACTCGGGTTTGAGATCCAAAAACATCATGTTTGTTACAGTGTTTTCCAATAATAATCAAAAGCAGGTGGCACGAGAACATGAAAATATGTCTAGTTAAAAATCACAATGCAAAAACATTAGGAGACACCAATTATTTGTTTCCGATGGGTGTTTCGCGACACCACCCGCAACAAAAAACATGAAACCCGCAACAAAAAACATGAAACAAAAACCGTTGCCAAACCGGACCTCAGTTACTTACTAAAGCTTCCTAAAGCAAGCTTTAAGCAGAACCAGTTTTAAAGGCAAGAAGGAATCAATGGCACAGAAGGATGAAATCAAGAACCACTTGCAAAGCTTAACCATGGAACTCAGAAATCAACAAACCAAAATGCATGAAATTTCTGGTGTCATATTCAAAACAAAGACAGTTTCAATAGAGCATACAGTGAGCTAACTAACTGAATTTTTCACTATTATGGGGGTAGATTAAAACAGTTTGATCCCCTGTTTTCTTGGACTTTTTTTCTCTAGTACCCAATGAATGAAAATGGCTGAAACTAACCCCCAATAATTCGGTCTAATTCCCACAAAATCACTCTTCGTATCCATTTAAAGGAAACAGAAATTAATATAAAAGGCCAAAAAAGCAAAAAATTGGCCCACTATTTGTATTCATGTCATTTGCTGTCAGTAAAATCAGCATCAATGACATCTCCATCAGTTCCCTTGCTTGATGATTCTGAAGGCCCAGGTCCGTCGCTAGGTGTGGGGCCAGCCCCAGGTGCCGCCCCAGGCTGCTGGTTGTAGAGGGACTGGCCAAGCTGCATGACTTCCTGGTTGAGGGCAGCCATGGCGTCCTTAATGGATTGGGTCGAGTCCCCTGCGATTGCCTCCTTCAGCTCTCCAAGTTTTGTCTCAACCTTTTCTTTCACTGGACCTGGAACCTTGTCTCCCAGCTCCTTCAGCTGCTTCTCTGTTTGGTAGACGACAGAGTCTGCTTGATTCTTCGTGTCTATGGCATCTCTCTTCTCCTTGTCTTCCTTCGCAAATCTCTCAGCATCTTTAACCATCCTCTCTACCTGCATATTTTCGTTCACAGACATTTTCAGAATTATTCTTCTATATAAGTTTGCTTACATGAAGTCGAGCTGTTTGTTTAATAGCTAACTGAAAGATAGCAATTATTAATTGACTCGGGTCCAAGATGAACTAAGTATGAGGTCCACTGTCACAATCCCACAAAAGCATACATAGATCATGGCTCATGTTTCAAACTTAAAGAAACCAAACAGAACAAGGGCTCAAAAGGAACCTATTTTAACCATAAACTTCCTACGACTGTAGCAGTAAATGAATTGTTGTATACGTGAGATAAATTACTGTCTAGGGTGCATATAAACAAATAGTTCCATAGCTAATATACTTTCTTCAGAAAAACATACCTCATCACTGGGCAAGGTGCTAGCACCAGTAATGGTGATATCTTGCTTCTTCCCAGTCCCTTTATCAATAGCAGTAACGGAGAGAATGCCGTTTGCATCGATATCAAATTTGACTTCAATCTGAGGAACTCCTCGTGGGGCAGGTGGGATTCCATCCAGACGGAAGCTGCCAACAGATTTGTTGTCCCTAACAAACTCTCTCTCACCTTGAAGGACATTAATCTCCACACTTGTCTGACCATCAGCAGCTGTTGAGAATACCTCTGATTTTGAGGTGGGTAAAGTTGTATTTCTTGGGATGATTTTCGTCATAACACCACCAAGAGTTTCTAGACCCAGAGATAACGGTGTAACATCCAAAAGGACAATGTCACTGACATCCCCAGCCAAAACACCAGCCTAGAAATAAATAAATCAATGAAGGTATGATGTTCAGATCATCAACAAATGGCGGAATAGAATTTAACAGAACAGAAATCATGCCAGAAAGTACCCACAAAAAGATCCCAACAAACCGTCGGCTATATTAGTTTTTCATCAAGTGTTTATCCGCCTTAAAAGATGATAATTAAGAATGCATATGAATGAATAGAAGGCAGAGCTAATGAGACCAGGGATGGAGCAGGATTCACCTGAACTGCAGCTCCAAGGGCAACAACTTCATCAGGATTTACCGTAACATTTGGGTCCTTTCCAGTCAATTTCTTAACGAGTTCCTGAACAGCAGGAATACGTGTTGATCCACCAACAAGGATCACTTCATCTAGATCTTTAAAAGAGAGTTTTGCATCCCTCAAAGAATTTTCAACTGGTGTTTTAAGCCTAAAGAAAAGAACACAAAACTTATTACCTAAATGCCCTTTACATTAGATTAGCATGAAGATCATTAGTAAACTGACAAATAAAGCCAGCTCAAAAAACTATTCCTGTCACCATACAAAGAAGTAGTACTCCAAGAATTGAGTAGCACCAACAATCAATCTAGCAATTGCATCAAATGTGCTCAAGTTCAAATTAAAATTAAAATTGAAAGAATTTCAAATACCTGTCAAGCAGATCTGAACATAATTCCTCAAATTTTGCCCTCGTAAGAGTTGTCTCAATATGTTTGGGACCATCTGCAGTGGCTGTAATGAAAGGCAAACTAGAAAGAAAGAATCTCATTTAGCAGTAGAACCTTAGAGAGAGAGAGAGACACCACACCGCACGTACCTAATATTGGTCTGTGTCAAAGATGACAAGTCCATTTTAGCTTTTTCTGCTGTCTCAGTCAAACGCTGAAGCGCTTGTTTATCCTTCAAGAGATCTATGCCTTCATTTTTCTTAAAATCCGCAGAAAGCCAATCTACAACCCTCTGCAAAAACGAGTATATGACAAATTATATTCACAAATAACAAAGTACCTGAAAATATAAGTAACAAGTGGCTTATCATGGTAGACAGGCAGATAATAACCTTGTCAAAGTCATCACCACCCAGATGAGTATCACCAGAAGTAGAAAGCACCTCAAACACTCCATCACCGACCTCAAGAACTGTGTTGGAAAAAAAACAAAGTTTAGCACTGCTACAGGAAAATTCAGAGTTGCTATACAGACCAGGAAGTGAAGGCAAAAATTGCTTATGTTCTTCATGAGGAAGTTAGAATCTCTTAAATTTTAGATTTAAGAAGGTTCCTAGCTGGGCCAATATTTTTTTTTATGAGAAGGTACAATGCCATGCGTAGCTATTTGAGAGGTTTGGTTGCTTGATTTATACTTGATCTCTAATGCATATCTATTTTTGGAGGTTAATGAGAACAAACAACTTACCAGACACATCAAAAGTACCACCTCCAAGGTCAAACACTAAAATGGTTTCATTGTTCTTCCTCTCAAATCCATAAGCCAATGATGCAGCAGTAGGTTCATTGATAATCCTTAGAACATCTAATCCAGCAATACGGCCAGCATCCTTTGTTGCTGTCCTTTGAGAATCATTAAAGTAAGCAGGCACTGTGACCACGGCTTTAGTAACTTTGTCATTCAAAAATTTTGATGCATCATCCACAAGTTTTCTCAAAACCTAAATCAGAAACAAACGTTAGTTTAACATAACATGAAATGACAAAAAAACAATAAGAGAAATGAAGATAGCATATTAACATAACATGAAATGACAAAAAACAATAAGAGCAATGAAAGATTGTCAGTTTTTAACATAACATGAAATGACAAAAAACAATAAGAGCAATGAAGATAGCATACTAAAATTTATAGTATTCGCAAAATTTAAATGATATTGCCTCCTAAATCATTACCCAAAAGGTTCACCATATATTTGGAATCCCACTTTATCCTATTATTTTAACGGACCATAATTTATTAACAATCACCTGCAATATCCCCCAAAGCCCTATAAGAAACTTCTGAATCCACATCGATACAAAACATTCCTTTCACATCATAACACATAAGTCGCATAGAAATTATCTTCAGTGTCTTCTTTCACAACACATAAGTATTTGTACTCTAGATTCATTCTCAAACCTTCAATGTTGATTCCATGTATCCAATTCATACTATTCCAAGGATGACTGACCCCATGCATAATTAGCCACATGAAAAATGCCAGCACATTTCGCCATGTCAAAGCAAAACCACATAGCTTTTATCCCATCCATTCGTGTTTTCACTAGGAAAAGCAGCTTAAAAATTAAGTTCTATTGCACACGAACAAAGAAACATACATAAATTGCACATTTGCAAGAGCATATGTGTCTATTTAGGCATAAACTGAAAAAATTAGGTGCTAATTGAGATATTTCTAATTATTTGTTCAAAATTTTGAAGTGCTCAGTGTTCAATAATGAGAGAGGTCTCCTCCATTTTAAAATGCAAGTTAATTTTTTGTCATTTTAAGTAATGGCTAAATTGAGTTATCAAATGTACTTACTTAAATAAGTACTTAATTTATTCAAATAAGGCCCTATCAAACAGCACTCCCTCCTGTAAAACTACCAATAAATCACTGAATTAACTCCAAACCAACATAAACAGTATAACTTAAAGTATATCAGTAGAAAAAACCCTACAAGTGATAACAAATTAATTCAAATGACAATACACAATTGCACATACATCAAATAAGTACCAATTGAAGAAAATGAACGATTTGATTACCTGAGCCGAGATTTCTTCAGCTGCAAACTGCTTGCCAATGGCGGGGCAATCAAGCTTGACATTACCGTTGTCATCTCGAACCACCCGATAGGAGACCTGCTTCGACTCCTCGTCCACCTCGGACATTTTCCTACCAATGAACCTCTTGACAGAGAAGAAGGTGTTTTCCGGGTTCACCACCGCCTGCCTCTTCGCAATCTGCCCGACGAGCCTATCCCCACTCCTGGTGTATGCCACCACGGACGGAGTCGTCCGTTGACCCTCGGCGTTGGTTACGATGGTCGGCTTGCCTCCCTCCATCGCCGCCACGGCGGAGTTCGTCGTCCCCAGGTCGATTCCCACGACCTTCTCCGCCACCACTCTCACCGGTCCCACACCTATCCTTCCATTATTCCTCAGCTTCAACTTGGGCATAGCAAACGACGTCGTCTTGTTCAGACCCTGTCCGAAGAACACCGTTCTCGGAGATCGTCTACTCGATTGCTTCGAAGATGAAGGGAAAGCAATGCCTCCGAGCACATGAATCTGAGACGTAGAAGACGCCATTTTTCTTCTATCAAGAAATACACAGAACCTAACCCTATAACTTGAGGGTATAGAGAGAGAATTAGGGTTTAGGAGAGAGGATTTTGAGTATGAAAGTGTAACCCTAACCCTTGAGAAAAAATTGAGGTGTGTTCTAGATTGGAGGTGTGAGAGGATAAGGGTAGGACGGAGACTTGGGAAGAGGACGGTTTATGTGAGAGAGAGAGAGAGAGAGATGAGGGTTAGGTGATGACACGTAGACGGTTCTAGAAACATCTTCTCTTCCCGATTTCGATCTCACGTATAAACGGGTCGGGTTTTCCGGTTTGAAATATCAAGATGGGTTTCTTCATTCTTTATTTTTATATTTTTTTTGCAAATAACAAATGCATCTACTTTGTTTGTTATGAAAACTGTTGAGTATTTGAAAGGTTATAAAACTCCTTAATGGTTGGAGTTTGTGTTTTGTAAGATTATAAAATTTATTATTATTTAATTTTTTAATGAGTTTAAAATTTCTTTTAAATTCATATATTATAAAAATATATATTTATCACTATTTTAATTGTCAGGTTTAAATCGTGTAACAGGCTTGACTAATTACAATTTGACGATTTATTTACTTGTCGTAGGTTGTTATGTTTGGAGTCTTTCTGTGTATACGTTGTGTCCCTCCCTTGTTCCAGTTATTGTCCCATGAAATGTTGGGTAATTAGGAAACAACATAAGCATAAAGTGTGGTAGTAATGCGAATGCTGAGATGGATGTGTGGCGAAATTAGAAAAGATCAAATTAAAAATGATCACATTGAGATGATTGGAATAGCATCAATTAGAGATAGAATGACGAAAAATTGATTTAGATGGCTCGAAAATGTGCACAAAAAACCCTTAAAAGGTCTTAAATCTTAATAGTCGGGACCTCTCAAATTTCTTGTAAAGGCGAGAAATAGTATGAGAAGCCTTTATAAGGCAAACAATCTTTGAATTCTAGATATGAAAATAATAAAAAAAATGCCCAAAATATCCTATTATATTGTCATTCTTCTTGTTCCTTTATATTATATTGACATATTTTTTTCATATTAATGCGAATGTTGAGATGGATGTGTGGCGAAATTAGAAAAGATAAAATTAAAAATGATCACATTCGTGAGATGATTGGAATAGCATCAATTAGAGATAGAATGACGAAAAATCGATTTAGATGGCTCGAAAATGTGCACAAAAAACCCTTCAAAGGTCTTAAATCTTAATAGCCGGGACCTCTCAAATTTGCCATAAATAGTATGAGAAGCCTTTATAAGGCGAACAATCTTTGAATTCTAGATATGAAAATTAAAAAAATGCCCAAAATATCATATTATATTGTCATTCTTCTTGTTCCTTTATATTATATTGACATTTTTTTTTCATATTTTTTTTTTGGGACAACTTGACATAAACTTGGTATCAAGTTACGATGATAATTTGTCAAGCTACAGTTGGGTTTTTGCCGTCCCACCCCTATTATGGTTGAAATTAAAACTTGAGTTAAATTCGAAAAAAAGTTCGTATTTATGTATATCTCACATTCAACCCGCCCCAATTATTATATAGTATTCTACTCTTATTTACTTACCCTTTTAACAAATTACTAAACACATTCGTGTGTGTATATATATCATTTTCTCTTATGTTACTGATCATTAAATCTCCACACCCTGTTCCTCACTTCTCCGGTCTTTCTCCTCGGCCCTTATCACCACCCTCAATCTTAATCTACTGGCAGACGATCAAGAGGTCCTGAGTCTTTAACGGCCAATGGTCGATAACTCTCTATGCTATTTTTTTTCCCCCCTTTTCTTAGGTTCTTGGTTCTTTTTTTATGATTCATGTTCTTGAATCTTTTTAAGTACCCTTCTAAAGATACCAAAAATAGAATGGCCGGATATGACCCATCCCACTAAAGACCGGATCGGGAGAGAGCAATTGACCGGATCAGATGACAACCCATTAGGCCCAATCTCCATTATGATGATCTCCAAGCCCAGTCTTAAAGGGAGAAAGAAAAGCCAAAAGGATCGGCCCAACATGAAAGATGAAAGAGGAAGTTTCTAGAATACTTGTAAAAATCTATAAATAGAAGGAAAAGAGAGGGAAAAGTGGTTGAGATATTTTGAAGTGTAAGAAATTAGTTTCCAAATTGAGAGAACTTTTTCATTGCAACTTCAATGGCGTCGTCTATGGGAAACGATGAGTTGTCCAGACTAATGAAGGTGGACATCCGATTCATATAGATCGTATCAGTAAAGAAGGATAGGAAGAAGGTTCAGATTTAACCGCCAAAGATCGGAATTTGGCCGGACGAAGGCCAGATTCGACGAATTCGCAGCAGAAAAAGTTTAAATCTAACCAACAGAGATCAGAATTTGGCCAGACGAAGGCCAGATCCGACGAATTCGCGGTAGAAAAAGTTCAGATCTAACCGACGGAGATCGGAATTTGGCCAGACAAAGGCCAAATCTGACGAATTCATAGTAAAAGAGTTCAGATCTGATCAAGATTCAGCAGTTGATGACTCTGCTCCGATCAAGATCGATGATTGGAGGTGAAAGTTGTTATCCACAGGAGAATGAGCAACATGCAAAGCTTGATGAGTTAATGAGTTTGACTGAGACGTTAAGACGAGAGAATACGGAATTAAGAGTCGGAATAGAACGACGAGACGCTTCGACAATTCCACAATTACCGCCTCTAACAGGAGAAAGAACGTTGCCACTGAATGTCATTCGCCAGGATGAACAAGAAGGATATGTTCGCTTGGATCCGCATCATGAGGAGTTCAGGGAGAAGATTTTTCCGCCGAATGTCCACCGTCAGGAAGATCGAGAAGGATCTGTTCACCTGGATCCACACCGTGAAAGGATCAGGCAGGAGGAAACAATGGAGTTCGGTCACAACAAGGCTACGCCGTCATGGCAAAGGGAGTAAACTCTGGAAAGATCGTTCGATCCGACTTACTATCCATCAATGGCCATGTATGACTAGGTGTAGCAAAGTTCGACACGACCCGCCAACACGACACGTACACGACACGAGTTAAATGGGTAATGGGTTTACTATAAACGGGTTCATGTCGTAAACGGGTTAACATGATTAACCCGTTAAGTTAAACGTGTCGTGTTCGGGTTTTAGAGTTCAACCCGTATAACCCGTTTTGACCCGTTTAATTAAACGTGTCACCCGTGAACCCGTATAACTCGTATAACCTGTTTTGACCTGATAAGGGACATTTAGGTCATTTCATACTATATATAACAAACCCTACATATCCCATTATCATTATACGCCCTAGTCATTAGAAAATATCTACCGCTGCGTTTTATTTCTCTTCTCGCTAGACTCTTCAGTCTCTCTCTAGTCTATGTCTCTCCTCTTTCTTCTTCGGAGTTCAGACAAGAGTGAAGAGACGACTCCCTTTCTCTCTCAAATCCTCATTCACATCGATATATCTAATATCTTCAATCCAGTCTCCAGTCTTCCATCTCTTTCATCGTGAACTCACCCAGATGATCGGATCTCTATCTTCATTCCAGTCTCCTGTCCTCCGTTTTGTACAACTCAGTAAACTCACCCGGATCTATCTTCTTGTTGCACGCACCTGATTCTTCTACAACTCAGTGAACTCACCCGGATCTATCTTCTTGTTTAGGTAAAATACTAAAATTATTTATAGTTTATGGTTTATCTAAATATTGTTTTGGTCCTCCTCTCTCTTTATGGTTTATCGAAAATTAATTTTTGTTTGGATTTTGTTTATGGGATGAGATCAATTTAATTTTCTTGATTGCTGATTTGCTGAATTTGTTGTTTTTGTGGATAGCCTGAGTGTACAGTTGATTTTTTGTTTTTTGGCTTTTGTGCGGTTGTTTTCAGAATTATCTTATGATATATAATTATATATGCTCAACTCGATATATATCTTTAGGGAGAGAATTATCTTATGATATATAATTATATATGCTCAACTCGATTGTTTTGGGACAATTTAAGTGTTTGGAAACATGTAACATTGATATTAAAACTGCTTGTAATTTCATTTATCACAAAGAAATTATGTGATGTGATATGGAATTTCTATATGTACAATGACAAAGTATATGCTTTACTACATGTACTTAATGTATTGCTGTAACATGGAGCCTTTTTGCTCCTAGATAAGCTTATAATATGAACTGAGGAACTCTGTTTTCTATTTTTTTTTTTTTTTTAAATTGTATGTCTCTTCTGTGCAGCTACTTGCTGGTCTTCCTTGTTTGGTTGGCTAGAAAACTAACCTGGCTGTAAATATTCTTTCTTTAATAAAATTTCATTTACCCGCAAAATATTTGGTTCTCCAATAGTGTGCCCTGATCATTCAGCTCATAATTGAATGCACGAACATACATAAAAAAATGACGTATTTCATTCAGCTCAGAATGCGCCTAACGTTAGAAAGAGAAATTTGGGAACTATTTGATGAGATTTACAAGTGCTCTAAAGTATTCCATTAATCAATTTGTGGTATAATAAACCCCTTTCCCAACCGTTTTACAATTGATCATTAATCAATTTTTAGTTTGTATGTTTTGTTTTTGTTTCATTTGTTGTTGTAATTGTATGCATCCATGAAAAAAGCTAAAACTATGGAGGCTTTGGTATGCACGAGGGACTGACATTTTGGTTTGAAAGGTAAATGACTATTAATAAATTTCAAATTATATTCTTATTGCAAAAAATAATGAACTAATAAATTTTTTGTGTATGATTTTTTATAGATACAATGAAGCTTCAAATGGATGACTTGATTGATGATGTGATGCAACTAAATATCAACAATGATGATCTTGCTGAAGTTCAATGTTCCACCACTGTTAGCATGACCGAAAATTAAAATCCAGGGACTCTGTTGCCTCAAGATTCAGTTTAAGACATTTCTATTAAACAATTTTATTTGGTTCTGTAATAATTAATAACTTCATCAGCTTGTGACTTAATCTTTATTTTTGGCTTTTAATCTCTCTTTTTGGACTACATTACTACAGACTATAGTACAAAATTTCTAGTAATGTTTGCTAGTATTTTAATTTGCTAGTATTTTAATCTTTGGCCACTTTATACAGGTTAAACGGGTAAACACCTTAAATAGGTTAAGCGGGTAAACATGTTAAACA